AGTTGGGAGTGGGCCAATTCTGCTTGGTTGGATGACGGGGGAATGGGTGGTGTGGATTAAAGGGGATTGGGGGAGCTATACACTGATACACAGTCTGGGAGACTTGGATGGTTGTCCAGTTTGTCCCTCAACCCACGGAAGCCGTGTAATAGCCCCGGACAACACTGTCAGAACAATTCCTGGAACTGGGAGGGGAAGTGATTGGAGATTACTTTCTCCACTACGCACAGGTCTTTGTAAACTGTGAGTGCGTCACAAATGGTACATTATTCTCTATATTAGGGTTCTGACGATACCAGTATCGCAATACTCGTTAGTATCGTGGCAAGGAAACTAAACATGAACCTGATTTACCTTCTTTAAGAAAGCGGCCCTAACATTGGAAACAAACATCATTATGTTGTCATCCAGAATCACATGTATTTATTTTCCAAGCTATAGCACACTATATTACATACAGCAGGTTTTTAAAGGACCAAAGAGTTTGGTCTGCTTCATGTTTTCATTTTTGCAGTGGAAAAAATATTGTGATACTGGTATCCTCCTAACCCTACTCTGTATAGTGCACTACTATTGACTGGCTCTGGTCAAAAGTACAACACTATATAGGGAATAGGGTGCCATTTTGGGACGCATCGTGTGTGGAGCCTGGGGAGGTAAGTGTTATTAGCATGGATCAGATGGTTTGATCAAAGTGGTCCGAAAGAGAAGGCCGAATAGGGACTAAATGTCGGCTTATTCCCTATATAGTGCACTACTTCTGACCAGAGCCCTATGGGCCCTAAGAGTCCCTGGTCAAAGGTAGTGCTGGTGCACTATTTTAGGCATAGGGGTGGCATTTGGGACACACACTATAGCACTGGAATGTGTTTTCATCAAACAAAATAGAAAGATGTAGTTTCATAAATTACAATCAAATTGGCGCCCTCCGTGGTCCACTATTTCACACCAGTTTTTAAAACGCTGTGTACAAAAAAATATATAAAGAAATTAATAAAAGCTTTTAAAAGTGGAATTCCAAATCCAACTGCAAGCCAAGACCATTTTTTAATCCTGTTTTCCCTCTGTTTTTTGCTCCAATCCCTTCCTGTTTTTCAAACCCTCAATCCACCATTAGAAATTCTTGAAGGCTCTGAAGGGCGAGCAGCTTGGAGCCAAGAAAAGCCCCAGCAACAAACTCTGATCAGACCTGGGTTCAACTATATTAAATAATTTAAACTATTCTAACTGGGCGTGATTGAGCTTGCTGTAGCAATAAAACAGTCATACAACTGAGACCCCCTCCCAGCTATCACTGTAGGCAGGCTAAAACAAACACTAATAATATTTAAAAGATTTCAAATACTATTTGAACCCAGGCCTGACTCTGACCACATCCACGGCGTGTTTGCCGCTATAACCTCCTGAGTTTCTCTGAGTGTTCCAATCCATCGCAGACCTATCACCAAGTTGGCTCATAAATCAGAGCCTATGCTGCCCGGAGACACTGAGAATGGGGGTCAGCGCTAGCAGGTTAGCCAAACACACCCCTGGAGAGTCCCAAGTGCAGCTAGACCCACTACACCCTCTTCAAAATGAGTACCCCTACACAGAGAGCGAGGGTGTGTCTCAAATGGCACCGTATTCCCTATTTAGTACTTTTGACCAGGGCCCATATAGGAAAGTACTGCACTATGTAGGGAATAGGGTATCATTTAGGACACACCTCTCGCTTTCTCTGTGGAGTGGTACTACTTCTGCAGAGGACAGACATACTTATCTCTGCCAAGGAAGAAACAGTCAGTTACATAGCATAGGTAGACATTTAGAGAAGGTATGATACTGTATTACTGTGACCCTGACCTTCCCACCTCTCTGTTGAGGAAGTATTGGTTCATGGCCGCAAATGGTCAAAAACGATGATTGTATTACACATGAATACCTATGGTACCTACCTAGCAATAAATCCAAGAGAAGAGTTTGTCATGTTAAATCATTGTTCTTGTGTATGAATAAATTCCTAACAGTACGCCAGTCATAATTAGGTACAGGACAGAAAATCAGATATGTTCTGCAAAATGAATTTCTATCTCAGTGTTCTGTTAAGTTGCACCCTCCTGAACAAACCTCTGACACACAGGCTCTCTCTAACCCTACAGCTACTCAGAGAGGGGGGAGAGGGGGGAGAGGAGGGAGAGGGGAGAGAGGAGGGAGAGGAGGGAGAGGGGACGGAGGGAGGCGAGCGGAGGGAGAGGCGAGAGAGGAGGGGAGGCGGGAGGGGGGGAAAGGGGTGGCGGGGGGGGAGAGGGTAGTGAGAGGGGGGGGGAGAGGAGGGAGGAGGGGGGGGGAGCGAGGAGCGCGCGGCGGAGCGGGGGGAGAGGAGGGAGAGGGGGAGGAGGAGGAAGTGGGGGGGATGAGGAGTGCGAGGGGGGGGGAGAAGGGAGAGGAGGGAGAGGGGGTGAGAGGAGGGAGAGGGGGGGAGAGGGGTGAGAGGAGGGGAGAGAGGGGGGGGAGGGGGGAAGGGGAGGAGGGAGAGGGGGGAGAGGGGGAGAGGGGAGAGAGGGGAGAGGGAGAGGAGGGAGGGGGGGAGAGGAGGAGGAGAGGGGGGAGAGAGGAGAGAGAGGGGGGGAGAAGGGAGAGAGAGGGGGGAGAGGAGGAAGAGGGGAGAGAGGGGGGAGAGGGTGGAGGGAGGGGGAGAGGGGGAGAGAGAGGGGGAGAGGGGGAGAGGGGGGGGAGGAGGAGGGGAGAGGAGGGAGGGGAGAGGAGGGAGAGGGGGGAGAGAGGGAGAGGAGGGGGTGAGAGGGAGAGGGGGAGGGGGAGAGGGGGGAGAGGAGGGAGAGGAGGGAGAGGAGGGAGAGGGGGGAGAGGAGGGAGAGGAGGGAGAGGGGGGAGAGGAGGGAGAGGGGGAGAGAGGAGGGAGAGGAGGGAGAGGAGGGGAGAGGGGGGAGAGGAGGGAGAGGGGGGGAGAGGAGGGAGAGGGGAGAGAGGAGGGAGAGGGGAGAGAGGAGGGAGAGGGGTGAGAGGAAAGAAGATAAATCCAAAGCCATCCTGGCGTGGGTGTATGAAATGTGTGTGTGTAATGTGTGTATGTAGTCAGTCAGTGTATAAAGTGTGTGTGTGAGGCGGCAGTTGGCGCCCCTCTCCTTCCCATCGCCGTGCCCCCGTGGCAGAGGAGGAACTGTTAAAACTGGATCCCTTTTCACCCCCTAACCTCCTACTGCACTGAGTGGAAAAACAGCTGTGGGGCCACCACACACTCCTGCTCCTGAACCAATCTCCTGGGACCCTCACTGTTACACACACAAGCACTCTCTCAAACACACACAAATTTACAAGCATGAGCCCTACAGTAGTACCTCTATGGTTTGAAGAAGCGCAAATGAGGCAGAAACTTACCGTAGCTGGAAAAAACACACATTCCCTAACGGCAAACTATTCAGTGAGTAGGGGTCATTCACAGAGAGTGCTTAGGTGGCAAAAATAATAACGGTTTAAATGACTTGATCTTGTGTACACAGTTCACCAAGCTTATCATGGCTTGGGTCGGAAATGCCACATGTCTAATTAACATGATTGGCAAATCAGGCATTGTGAGCAGATTCTGTAAAAAACAAAGTTAAGGCCCTGTCTTTCTCTCTCTACCGAGAAAACTAAGGACCTGTGTTTAAAATGGAATGTGCCTCCTCTCTAGCCACATATCTGACATGTTAGCTCAACCAGTATCCAGGAAGAGGTCAATCCGTTTTACAGAATAACCACACCGCTGGTTCCTCTCTGCTCCAGACTGACTGGATGACCAATGGTATGGACTAAGTGTTTAAATATGGCATTGACTAACAAGCTAGCATGGATGCATCATTGGAGGTGTCCCAAGTGGCATCCTATTCCATATGTAGTGCTCTACGTTCAAAAGTAGTGCACTATATAGGGAATAGAGCACCATTTGGGGCGAAGCTATAGTTTTTGGACGGTCGATGGTAAAAGTTGAATCCAGAAATAACAGAACCCTTCAGCACATTGAATGAGTCCGACTGTCTTACTGTTCATCATACGCCACACATATTTCAATAAACTTGACCAGAACTGTTTTTATTTTGTTATAAAAAGTCCTAGTCCATTTTGTGACACTGATTTAAAAGGTAATGAACAGTCAAAATCGTGTTTTTCATGAAATTGGATGATATTTGAAGGAAACCAGATCAAAGTATGATCACCAAAGTATGAAAAATGACTTGCTTCTACACTGATACATTTTGATCATAAAGTTACTGATCCCCTCCCCTATGTCAAACAACCTCCCGAGTGGCGCAGTGGCGCACTAGAGATCCTGGTTCGAATCCAGGCTCTGTCGTAGCCGGCCGCGACCGGGAGACCCATGGGGCGGCGCACAATTGGCCCAGCGTCGTCCAGGGTAGGGGAGGGAATGGCCGGCAGGGATGTAGCTCAGTTGGTAGAGCATGGCGTTTGCAACGCCAGGGTTGTGGGTTCGATTCCCACGGGGGGCTAGTATGAAAAAGGGTGTGGTTTATATACCTAGATAGCTACTCTACTGGTGCCAAATTTTGACTGTAGGGTGTCAGGAATTATAACTAAAAGTTTACCCTATTCATCTATGGTAAAGATACTTATATGTTTCCCCTTTTATCTGTGTCTGGTGTTAGTTAGTTACTGGCTAGCTAGGTCTTCAGCCAGCATGGAACAAAAGGGGGGGGGGGGGGAGGTCATTCAAAACTCTGACAGTTGTCATGTCAACACATCAGTCAGTGCTGCTGTGAATCACATTATAAGAGACATGCCAAAATGGGAGATATACTGTATACTAAAATATATATATATAATTGATGCAATTTCAATATTGTTTGAGTTGCTTTACTGAAACACTGCTCACTGCATCCAAGTTTCTTGACATAGGCATTTCAAAGAGCTGGCAGTCAAGTTGAGCTCATGAATATAAGCTCCCCGCCAACTCAGCCTGTCTTTTCAAACTTCCTGGTAGTTAGCCATGAGAGAATGACTTTTCAGAATGACTGTTCAGGACCTTTAATAAAAAACAACATCTGAATACATCTGATATAAATGTATACAAACAAAAAGATGTCAGCAGACGCTATAACTTAATATCTTTATGTACATCTATTTGCAAACGTCGCCATGTAGAGTAGTCCGGCTTTCTTATAACGAGCATCTGGTCACAGGTACCCTTTTCACACTACCGTGCTGAACAGAACCAAACTGTTGTCACATTGTCCTTTCCAGGTAGGTTACAGCAACCATAGCGCAGGGCATATCAGTACAGCTTGGTTTGGCTCTGATCGGTTATTTGCAGTTGTGTGAAAAGCAATTGGACAAGTCCAAACATGTCCATTCTTTACGGCCATGATAGGGTACATAGCCACTGTTACCCATAGACCCAGAACTCACCAGTGACCTCTAGTGGGGCTGTTCTGCATGGCCGCTCTCTAGCTCTTCTTCTCCTCCCTGTTCTTTAGAGAATCCAGCAGGCCCTTTATCCTCTCGCTGGCCGGCTCTCTCTTCCTCTTCTTACGACTTTTAACCCCGGCCGCCTGGGAGACAGAGGGCATGAGGAGCGCTGCCAGGCCCCAGGGGGCGTTGTTTCCGGTACTGGCCCCGTTACCGCTGTGCGGTAAGTTGAACTCCCGCTGCTGCAGCATCCAGGCGCTCTCCCGACACAGCGCCACGAAGCGCTCCAGCTGCGTTCCGTTAACATTCTTACTGACGTTCAGCGCAGGCTCAAAGGGGTTCTGGATGTGCAATGGGGACACCTCAGGTTTGTTTTGCTCCCTGCCCTGTTAGAGATTGAAAGAGAGAGCATGCGAGAGAAGGAGAGAAAGCGTGAGATGGAGAGAGAAAGAGAAAAAGAAAGAGAGGGAACATGATCATGAGAAAGAGCTGGCAAAACACCAACTGGTCTTTATACATGGTCCATCTATCTTATTGGTCACGCTGGTGAGGTCAGGTGTTTGTTGCTGTTATCTAGGCCACATGGGCCCATATAGAATGGATCTGGCTGGTCTCAGTCTGGCACACCTCTCCTCTTCCCAGGCCAGGCTAAAATGGGGATGTGGTGTGCGTTCCAAATGGCTCCCTATTCCCTATATAGTGCACTACTTTTGACCAGGACCCATAGGGCACTGGTCAAAAGTGGTGCACTATGTAGGGAATACGATGCCATCTGGGACGCAGCCAGTGTCAGCCTAGCTATGAGAAACGAGCCTGGGGGCAGCACCAGCAGGGTAGACACAGATTCACCACGCCTCATCCATCATACCACTGACTCTCTGACACCATCACTAGGCTGGTCCTAGATCTGTTTCTGCCATTTTTCTAACTCCTTGTCACGCATGACAATTCCATAAGGCTACACCGTTGCTGCTTTGTGCCACTGAATAGGGTGCCATTTGGGACATAAGCAGAGCAGGCCTGTGTCCTATACGGTAACTGTCACACGGACAATAAAAACCTGGGTTACGGATTTCTATCTCCAGAGCCCTCCAAGGTTCTATGCACGCAACAGACCCAACTGGGTTCAAATAGCGTTTGTTTTCCCTAAAATGCTTTAGCTGCGCCTGATTGAGCTTGCCTGACGAAATGGAACCAATGGAATAGTCCCAAAGGTGCAACACTCCAGGCAGGCTCAATCGAACCACACGAGGTATTCGACACAAAACAAATACTATTTGAATCCAGGTCAAGCATGGCATGCAATACACCTCAATCCCCTATCTAAGCCTGGGGTTGTAAAAAAATGGCTGACTGGATAGATGGAGAGAGAAAGAGAGAGAAAGAGAGCGATGGAGCCTCCAGCTCCATTGGATGGAGGGATGGGATGACCATGGAGCATAAAGCGATCAGTCGGGGGGGAGAGAGAGAGAGAGACAGGAGAGAGACATTACACCGTAAAGATGATTGATGGTGGTTTCTCTACTATTGAAAGGCCATTGCCACCAGGCTTCCTACAGGCCTTCCTTCAATACGTCAATCCTGACCCTGGGGCGTGCACACACACACAAGCACGGCTGACCCCAGGTTAACGTCTTTCCTACACTATATCTCTATAGACCAAGGAGGAGCAACCAAGCAAAAAACAAACTGGGTAAATGGTATCCAAATGAACACGTGGATAAGATTGAATAAACGTGTTGATCGTTTTCGCTTACTGAGCGTGATAAACTAGAGATTGGGTTCATATAGAGATGGGTGGAGAGCAGCAGCAGCCATCAATCACACAGTCCTCTGACAGCTGTAGTCTTAGCAGGCACCGAGGGACGTCAGTGTGATGTTGGTGTGTGTGTGTGTTCCACAAACCACACACTTTACTACCACTAGCTTCCCCTCAGAGATAGCCAATGAAAGATCTTGAACGCCGTTAGCATTTTCTGGCCAATTATAAACTATGGCAATTAGGCACAAGGGTGAAAGTGCAGCTGGAAGCAGTTCTGAAAGGATTGTCAGTTTAAAGCTAAAAGGGTTGCAGAGAAGAAAGAAAGGCTATTTCTGTTTAAAGCTTTCAGTGAAGCACGGTCACCTTTGTGTCTACTGATGAATGGAGAAACAGAATGACTTGCTAGTTGATACTGATTCAAACAAAATGGAGTTTGTGTGTGTGCGCGTGCGTGTTAGATTCCGGCATCGGGTCGGATAGCCACGGTTCCCCGCGGGTGGAATGAAAACATTCAACCCTTGTGTTGCGAATTCCATTCTGTAAGCGGTGAGGCAGACATTCACGCGGTGGATCAGGGAACTGTCCATTATTTGTGTGGTGCTGAAACGTATCATAGTCATTGTGGCCAACAACAACAACAACCCGGTAGATGGATACACAGCCAGCAAAAAGTGCAAGCAGGAATTTGTTTACGATAGGCTAATTCAGAAATTGTTTACAATAGGCTAATTCTGTTAATTATTACGTTAATTCAGGCTTTCGTTCATTTAGACCATACGCAGGCCATGTCACATTTAAACCGGGTGCGCTGGTAAAAGTTAGAGTAGCCTAGGCTAGGGATGTGCATGAGTACTCAAACGGACGTCAAAACTCAATCTTTAACCAGAGATTTAAAAAAAATGTAAAATACTATATGGCGAAGACCCGCTAGGCATGTCTCTCTCCACTAATGCGCACTGACTCCCGCCAATTCGTGCACCTTCATTGTTTGTCTGTGTGTTACCTTTCTGATGTTTATAGACATGCGGTTGAATGCGAAGGTTCCATAGAACTCAAAGAACTCCTGCAGCAGTTGCTCTGAAAGGAAATACAAAGAGTATGACAAGAAATACCACATTCATACTGATGAAGAAACCTGTTTCCATGTGGAAATAACATTTTAACAAAACATTCACATTTATGCTATGGGCCCACCTAATGTCTCTGTGTTGTCCTGCAGTTGTATTTTTGTGAAGTCGCTGACAAACGTGCAGTCGTTTCCCTCGATGACACTCTTATCTATGGGGCCTTGTAGAAAGGGGGGGGGAACATAAGGTAAATAATATGATATATATCACAAGGTAAGACACTACACATCTAGGGCCTTGTACAAGAGAAGGGAGAAAGAGTAAATGACATACAACATCCTGGACGTCTACGTACACGTCCATAAACAATACCAGGGCTGCCTAATTCCGGTCCGAAACACTTCTGGTTTTTGTTTCTACTTGGTAGTTAATTGTGCTCACCTGGTGTCCCAGGGCTGAATTACTCCCTTATTAGAAGGAGAGGATGAAAACTAGAAGTGTCTCGGCCCTCCAGGACCGGAATTGGGCAGCCCCTGAACAAGACAAAGATTAGGGCCCTATAAAATCCGTTTTATTTTTTGCCTGATACTGTTTTTCCCAAATTCAGTTCTCTTTGTTTTGATATTCCAGGTTTTCGGTCTCAAAAATCAAACTTTTTTAATTGTTAATGTTGTTTAAAGTTCCCCTTTTGGTTTTATAAATGTATTGCCACCGGGGCCCGCATGTGTAACTTCTAAACTGCTTGCTAACTGTACTGCAGGATTGTAGCAGGTTTACTAACACGTTAGTTCTAGTAGCTATGTTGACTATGCCGTTAATATGGTGAAAACAATGTACGCTGTGTGCAGCGGTTAGCTGTTATGGTATGAAAGTTTGGCTTGGAATGTTATTTCGCCTGGCCACAGGCAGTTGTTGTATTGTGCACTGAAGTCCACAAGTGAAGGGAAAAGGTGAGAGGAGGAGTGAGCGTAGATGCGAGAAGGAATTATATATACAACAAGCAAAGTGAATATGTGGCTGCTAGTTCTGTGTTTGCGTGTGATCAGGGGTGTATTCGTTCCGCCGATTCTGTTGAAAAAAGTTTCTTAAACAGAAGCGAACGAAATGGGGATAAACATACCTGAATTTGTCCAATAGAAACTCTTGTTTGCAACTGTTGGCCTAGATCAGCTAGATGCAGGCAAGAGTGTACAAGGTGGTATTGAATGTGTCAATGTCTGTCACCTTGATTACTCTAATTTCTCTCGACCTGTGCACCTACGTTGTAAACTTTCATTCGTAGGCTAGGTTGTAGCAACCTCATGATGGGTATAGGGAAAATGTGAGTATCATACATCAAAATTACAATCTGAATTGCAGTGTGAAAGCCTAACACTGTAAGATCGTATTTAGCTTTCAAATTATGCCCACCTGACCCAGATTGCGATTTATAATGGGCTGTTTTTGGATTGCGTAAACAACAACAGTAATTGTGTGATGCGGGGATGCAGGATTGTGTTCCAAGTAAAACTACAAGTGTGCTTGCTGTAGTTCCTCAACGGCACAGCTAGGAGAGCACAAAAAAAGCACCTTATAGTTGAAGACTGTTCTTTGAGTCATAAAAGTGCATTGAAATTGCTTAGGAACTGTGCACACTTTGGAGAGGTGGTGGCCACTTGGAGACACCAGTTGGTCCTCTCACTCAAACCGTTGTAATTTTTGTTGTCTTAGTTTGCACGTACACCCCATTTTCCAGGAATATTTTTATCATGTTACTGAATGGATACAGAGTATTTTCAGATTTCGTTATCAACAAATGCAGCGAAAAGTACAGTAAATGTAAAATGCACATAAAATCAACAGTTTAATGTTTGTATTAATTATTTTCGTATAAACCCTATCGATATAAGCCAATTCCCATGAGTGTAAAGGAGACCACTTTGAGGTCTGGGAAAAATCTAAGAAATGTAGATTTTTGGGTGAAGTTACCCTTTAATGCAAGTGCACACCAGCAAGAGAACGTTGTTTGGTTAGCGATATTTCTGTAGTGCTCATGTGATTGCAGAGTTTGCGAAACAAATGGCCACTGGATTGATGCAAATAATCATGATATCATTCTGCGAGGTAGGATACTTTGTAGTTAACATTTAATTGAGAAAGTTTTTGAGAAAGCGTTTCAATCTCTACCAGAAGACTGTTATCATTAGCATCATCGCACACACACACAGGTGCATTCCTGTGCCGTTTCAGATAGTTGCAACAAAATACGAATCACTGATGCATTTTGTTCACATCTTATGATTAACTTGGGTAAATGAAAGCATTTTCTAATAAGTTCAATACATTTTCCAATATTGTTGAATTCCGTTTTAATGTCTGGATTCCGTTATTCCCTCAGCAAAGCAGATTTTATAAGGCCTTAAAAGATGGATGGTGTCACTAGGAAAACTGACAGGCAAAGAGAGAGAGGGAGAAGATTGCTAATGTGAGTGGGATGATAGAGAGGTCAAAGAAGAGAGAGCAATTACAAGCGAGAGAAAGAGAGTGAGCGGTAGAGAGAAAGAGAGTGAGCGGTAGAGAGAAAGAGAGTGAGCGGTAGAGAGAAAGAGAGTGAGCGGTAGAGAGAAAGAGAGTGAGCGTAGAGAGAAAGAGAGTGAGCGGTAGAGAGAAAGAGAGTGAGCGGTAGAGAGAAAGAGAGTGAGCGGGTAGAGAGAAAGAGAGTGAGCGGTAGAGAGAAAGAGAGTGAGCGGTAGAGAGAAAGAGAGTGAGCGGTAGAGAGAAAGAGAGTGAGCGGTAGAGAGAAAGAGAGTGAGCGGTAGAGAGAAAGAGAGTGAGCGGTAGAGAGAAAGAGAGTGAGCGGTAGAGAGAAAGAAGGAGAAGAGAAGAAAGGATAATAAGAGTCCTGATCAAGCCTGGCTCTCCATCAGAGCCTTGGTACCAGTCTTCTTGACCATGTCAGCCGAGGGTCAGAGGAGAGGCTGGTGGTGTGTATGAGTTTGCTATGCGTGCGCGAGTGTGTGGTTAAATAGATGCCCAATGCTGGGAGGGTCTTGGCCCCTGCCAGAGTGATGGGTCCTTTATAGTGCTGTAAGCACTATGTGACGCTGCCTGGGATAGTGTCTCTGTCTGGGCTAAGGGGGATGGAGGGAGGGAGGATAGATTGCTTTTGGAAGGCAATTATCTGTGAGCCAAGGTGACAAGGGAAGCAGGAATATGAGCGCTGGGAGGAGAAGTGGAGGAGCATGACTGCACTACACCAACACAGATATTTGTTGACAATGAGGATCAACAATCAATTGCCTGAAATCCATTAAATAAATAATCATTTAGTAACCCAATTGCCACTCGCTCAGTGGTCCATTGCTACCTGCTGAACCTCAATTTCCACTTTTCTGAATACAACTAGGAAGTATAACAACGCAAAACTACAGACTACTACTTGCTAGCTCTTTGAGGTGAGATACCGACAGTATTGATTTTTCCCCCCACATAAATTGTCACAGTGCTCCATTATAAGATACCTGCTAGTTCCTTGAGGTGGTCCAGGGTGGGTAGAATAGGAATAGTCCTCCTCTGGAGGAAGAATAGGACCATGACAGTGAGAGAGAAGTTGGTGATCCAGGCTCCAGGTATGCTGCTGGTGATACTGTGGGCCCGAGCCCAGCACCGGACACTGAACACCAGGTAACGTACCCGATGGTCCAGCCCTCCATACAGGTACAGCAGCTCCGAGCTCTTCATCGCCACCCTGTGGACACACACAGAAGGACAGTCAAGAAGCCAGTACAGCCTAGTCATATTAGCTGAGACACTTGATACTGTCTGCAACTTTTAATTGATCTTTCTAACACATTCATTTCTATCACCATTCCTAATATTTTAATTTGATGATGATACACAAAGAAATGGTAGTCAAGACGACATACTGGAGTAACAGGATACCCTCATTATCTGACAGATTTGATACTGTTTGGGACTTTTGAATTGAAAAACATGTATAACATGCATTTTTCGATCACCATTTTTAAGTGTTTGAAATGATGATATATTCTCAGTACAAAACTTCTCAATCTGACGTTAGAAACCATGAAGGTTACAGAAGTTTGTGAGAAGAGAAAATGAAAAAGACAGTGGCACACAATATCCACCAGAGGGCAGCATTCAGCTGAACATTACAATTCTCACTTAGTACCAAAACATCCCTCTATTTTGAAAGGTTTTGTATGACAAACCGTGCATAACCATACCCTTCTATGTTTTAACATAAGCATTGAGAAACCCCCCTCTACTCTACTTCCTAATAAACTGATGCGTCAGTGTGTTTGTTTCTGAACGTTAGCAGTCACTTTAACTCTACCCACATCTACATATTATTTTTACTTTTTCTTTTTTTTAACTGCATTGTTGGTTAAGGGGCTTGTAAGTACGCATTTCACTGTAATGTCTACACCTGTTGTATTCGGCGCATGTGGCAAATAAAATGTCATTTGATTTGATGTGGTTGCTTCACTCTCAGGCTAACTACAGAGACCACAGTATCCCTCGGGCCAAGAGAAGAAGAAGTGAAACAACAAGACGCTTCTCTTCTCCCCTCTCTCTTTTGTCCTTTTGTTCTCACCTCTGTTGCCCTCTCTCTCTTCTCCTCTCTTTCTCTTTGGTGCCTGACTAGTTTCAGGGCACAAACACAAGCCACCTCTCTTTTCTTCCTCCTCTCTGGTGCCCGACCAGTTTTAGGGTAGCCAGCTTGGAACCAGCATACAGAGCAGTTCTACATAACTGAAGTTTCTGTCTGGTTTGTGCAATGCCAGTAGGTTAAGGGCAATGCGGAACTAACACGTAAGAGAGTTTCGATGAAGCATGAGAGCTAAATGCCATTTAAAAGGTGACTTTTAGTTCTGTGGAAAGGTGAACTATAAACAACATTAACAATTCAAAATCACACCTAGGCCGGCGGAAGTATGTTTGCAGGCATTGTTATGCTTTCCTGATTTGCAATTGTTCAAAAGGAACCGGTCAAGCATTATAAAAGCCGTTCTAATTTAATCATACTGATGATTAACCATGATGTAACCCAACTTCTGTTGGAGACTGATTACACCAAAAAATATGTTTTATCTGTGACTGTGTATGTGTGTGTGTGTGTCTGTCGGAGAGCCCTTGTGTGTGTGTGTGTATGTTACCTATTGTTGGCAGTGAGGTCACACTGGAACCCTGATGGTTGGTGGGCAAAGCGGACCAGGGGACAGCGAGCCTGGAGAATCTTCTGCACCCCGACACAGCCGGGCCCAAACTGGTCTACACACTCCCCGATCACAGACAGGATACTCTGGGTAGCCGCCCGCTCAGATGCAGACCTCTTTGTCTGGTACTCCAAGGAGAGCCCTGCTTTTGGCTGGGCAGATGGAACATGATTATACCACTGTAAATTGAGAAATATGTACATTAATCTAATGTTTTCTTGTTGCAATTTAATCAACTCAAAGTTCTCTCAAAGTCACCACACTATTTTGTTGATGTAGCACTGTTGACCGACCAGTAAAATATTATTATTATAGGTCTACTAAAATTGACCTTCATTTTAGCCTACCTTTGACTGAAAAATATCAGATAACTTGTTGGTCATTTTCTCTCCCCTTGCACCTGGCTATCAGGGGAGTTTGGGAAGGTTGTGGCTGTTTTTACTTCACGATTACCTGCTTTTTGTGGTGACTGTCACAGGGAACATTATAAACAGGCTTAAGCGGCAGTTCCTCTTGCTGTTCCGTAGGTAAGCACCATGGTCTTGAAGCTAGTGGAGTGTGTGGAGGAGCGGGGTGACATGAGAGAACTTGGGAAGGTTGAAAACCAGGCGGGCTGCGGCATTCTGGATAAGTTGCAGAGGTCCAGACGGGAGAGGACAAGTGCCTGGATTAGGTCGCTTCCTATGTGAGGTAGGGTCGTACTCTACGGATGTTGTAGAGCATGAGCCTGCAGGAGCGGGTTACACTGCTTTGATGTTTGCAGAGAACGACAGGGTGTTGTCCAGGGTCACACCAAGGTTCTTTGCACTCTGGGAGGGCGGCACTGTGGAGTTGTAAACCGTGATGGAGAGGTCTTTGAGCGGGCAGACCTTCCCCGGGAGGAAGAGCAGTTCCATCTTGTCGAGGTTGAGCTTGAGGTGGTGGGCCGACATCCAAGTTGAGATATCTGCCAGGCACGCAGAGATGCGTGTCGCCACCTGGGTGTCAGAAGGGGGGAAGGAAAAAAGTAGTTGCGTGTCATCCGCATAGCAATGATAGGAGAGACCATGTGAGGATATGACGGAGCTGAGTGACTTGGTGTATAGTGAGAAGAGGAGAGGGCCTAGAACCGAGCCCTGGGGGACACCAGTCGTGAGAGTACGTGGTGCAGACACAGATCCTCTCCACGTCACCTGGTAGGAGCGGCCTGCCAGGTAGGATGCAATCCAAGAGCATGGCCTGAGACGCACAGCCCTGAGAGGGTGGAGAGGAGGATCTGATGGTTCACGGTGTCAAAGGCAGCGGATAGATCTAGGAGGATGAGAACAGAGGAGAGAGAGTCAACTTTGGCAGTGCGGAGAGCCTCCGTGACACAGAGAAGAGCAGTCTCGGTTGAGTGACCCGTCTTGAAGCCTGACTGGTTAGGGTCAAGAAGATTGTTCTGAGAGAGATAACAAGAAAGTTGATCAGAGACAGCACGCTCAAGTGTTTTGGAAATAAAATAAATGTTCCCTTCTCTTTCTCCGAATATCCTCTCACCAGCTGTGATATATTCCAATCGATTCATTTTTTTTGTACTGATCTGATGCAATGGCATGGTAGGAGAACCTGTCGCACGCAGCGCTTTTAATTTCGCACTCCGCACAGCCCTTTCCCACCTGGACAAAAGGAACACCTATGTGAGAACGCTGTTCATTGACTACAGCTCAGCGTTCAACACCATAGTGCCCACAAAGCTCATCACTAAGCTAAGGACCCTGGGACTAAAGAACTCCCTCTGCAACTGGATCCTGGACTTCCATACAGGCCACCCCCAGGTGGTAAGGGTAGGCAACAACACATCTGCCACGCTGATCCTCAACACCGGGGCCCCTCAGGGGTGCGTTCTTAGTCCCCTCCTGTACTCCCTGTTCACCCATGACTGCATGGCCAGGCACGACTCCAACACCATCATTAAGTTTGCCGACGACACAACAGTGGTAGGCCTGATCACCGACAACGATGAGACAGCCTATTGGGAGGTCAGAGACCTGGCAGTGTGGTGCTAGGACAACAACCTCTCCCTGAATGTGAGCAAGACAAAGGAGATGATCGTGGACTACAGGAAAAGGAGGGCCGAACAGGCCCCCATTAACATCAACAGGGCTGTAGTGGAGCGTGTCGAGAGTTTCAAGTTCCTTGGTGTCCACATCACCAACAAACTATCATGGTCCAAACACACCAAGACAGTCATGAAGCGGGCACGACAACACCTTTTTCCCCTCAGGAGATTGAAAAGATTTGGCATGGGTCCCCAGATCCTCAAAAAGTTATACAGCTGCACCATCGAGAGCATCCTGACCGGTTGCATCACCGCCTGGTATGGCAACTGCTCGGCATCCGACCGTAAGGCGCTACAGAGGGTAGTGCGTAAGGCCCAATACATCACTGGGGCCAAGCTTCCTGCCATCCAGGACCTATATACTAGGCGGTGTCAGAGGAAGGCCCAAGAAATTGTCAAAGACTCCAGTCACCCAAGTCATAGACTGTTCTCTCTGCTACCGTACGGCATGCGGTACTGGAGCGCCATGTCTAGGTCCAAAAGGCTCCTTAACAGCTTCTACCCCCAAACTATAAGACTGCTGAACAATTAATCAAATGGCCACCCGGACTATTTACATTGACCCCCATCCCTTTGTTTTTACACTGCTGCTACTCGCTGTTTACTATCTATGCAGTCACATTACCCCAACCTACATGTACAAACTACCTCGACTAACCTGTCTTTGACTAATCTAACTTGACTTGGTACCCCCTGTATATATGATCTCATCTCAGTGCTACGAAGCTTTTGGGAAACACCCCTGATGTGTTTTTCACTTCCTACCTAAACTTGCCCAATAACAAAACAGATGTTTGTTTTTTTCGCTGACAGACATTTTGCTATGGTGTGCCCTACTGAACGTGACTGATGTGGTTTCTACATAGTCCTCATCCTCACCTTCTTCAGATTCCTCCCACTGATGCCGTCCAGGTCCAGAAACATGTCTAGGTCACAGCCCAGCTTCCCGAAGCCGTTCACGGAGGAGCCAAAGGGCCGAATAGTGCATTCTGGGAAATATGCAGCGGCTATATCCTTCAGGAGGGAGCAGACCAGGAAGCGCAGGCAGACGTTCTCTTCCGTCAGCTGGTACGTCTCTGTAAGGGAGGAGATTTGTTGGTCTATCTGAGATCAAGAAAGAGAGAACACCAAAACACAGTGTTATTATTGGAGTGTTTAATATTAAGCCTAAAGCAAGGGTTCTCTTGAGATCCTTGTTGACCATCATTCATATTCAACTATATATTGGTATCAGTTAGCACAAAAGCTAACATAATACCTATATGTTGTCCCTGGGACATGTTTCTATGCTAATCTTCATTCAGACAGACAACTTCAGTCGTTTAGCTAGTATTTAGAAACCAGTCCATGTAGACTTACACTGTCTTCTTTGGACATTCTCTGTATGAGGTCGTTAATGGGTATGGTGGTCTGTGGTTGGCACTGAGGGGCAGACTGGCCATTGGACAGGTCTAAAGGACCAGTGTTTCTGAGCGAAAGCAGTCTGGACTTGAAAGGCACTGTAGCTTCATGGTTGATACTGGGGATGGCCGTTCCTTCGTGCAGTGATTTGAGGCTCTCCTTGTTGGCAAACTCCACCACAGCATATGTACCCTGGAAGGCCAAACATGAGCAGTGACAGCACAGTCAGTTCTCTTTGACAACCTTCTATTCAACATCGTTTTTTTTTGATAGAGCTCCTTATATATGACTCCCTTAACAATACAATGTTTTTCGGGAATTTAGTTCTGTACAGTGCTATTTCCCATCACACTGCAGCTATAACTACTTACAAAGAGCACTTCGATTTTTTTTAGAAGGTTAGCAGGATTAGCAAGCCTACATTCATGGCTGTTTCCATACATGAGTGTTTATTTGTAGACTCATACGCACAATTGAAATACTTACGTAGCTTTCATAAAAGAAACATTTGTTGATATCTCCATGTCTGGATAAATACTGGAGGAACTTTTTCTCGTTGGTTTTGGCCGGGCAGCTGATAAGGACAGATCTCTCTGCCTGCTCTATCTTCTCCTCTTGGACTGTGTAAAAAGATTTGCTTCCATCCTTTGGTTCTAAAAACAACAAAACAGACAGACACGTCATGATGTCATTACAGCATACTTTAGCAAGATGATATCATTGTCTTTGGCATGAAAATCATAACCCATGTCGAAATCTAGCCATCATATGATTCTAAAGACAAGGCAAAAACAAAGAGTCACATCATGTCAAGTTGATTTCTAACCCGTTCATAGACGCTAACTACCTTCAGTGTGTTCTGGCCAGGGGAGTTTTTGTTAAGAATCCCGATGCTCGTTCTGAATGTTAAAACGCATTGCTTGCGGTACGGTTTTGGAAACATAAGCAATAAATAATTTTCAAAAAACAAAAAAAGGTTAAGTTACTACACTACCTTTATAGGGTTAGGGTTCCCACAATGCCATTTCCATGTTACAGCGCTTGTTTACAGGAAAACAGACGGAAGACAGAGGAGTACCTGCGCTAATTATACTGAACAAAATAGAAACGCAACATGTAAATTGTTGGTCCCATGTTTCATGAGCTGAAATAAAACATCCCAGAAATGTTCCATATGCACAAAAAGCTTATTTCTCTCAAATGTTGTTCACAAATTTGTTTACATCCCTGTTAGTGAGCATTTCTCCTTTGCCAAGATAATCCATCCACCTGACAGGTGTGGCATATCAAGAAGCTGATTAAACAGTATGATCATTACACAGGTGCACCTTGTGCTGGGGACAATAAAAGGCAACTCTAAAATGTGCAGTTTTGTCACACAACACAATGCCACAGATGTCTCAAGTTGAGGGAGCGTGCAATTGGCATGCTGACTGCAGGAATGTCCACTAGAGCTGTTGCCAGAGAACTGAATATTAATTTCTCTACCATAAGCTGCCTCCAATGTTGTTTTAGAGAATTTGGCAGTACGTCCAAACGGCCTCACAACCGCAGACCACGTGTAACCACGCCAGCCCAGGACCTCCACATCAGACTTCTTCACCTGCGGGATCATCTGAGACCAGCCACCTGGACAGCTAATGAAACTGTGGGTTTGCACAACTGAAGAATTTCTGCACAAACTGTCAGAAACCATCTCAGGGAAGCTCATCTGCGTGCTCGTCGTCCTCAACAGGGTCTTGACCTGACTGCAGTTCGGACTCGTAACCGACTTCAGTGGGCAAATGCTCACCTTTGATGGCCACTGGCATACTGGAGAAGTGAGCTCTTCATGGATGAATCCCAGTTTCAACTGTACCGGGCAGATGGCAGACAGCGTGTATGGCATCGTGTGGGCGAGCGGTTTGCAGATGTCAACGTTGTTGCGGTGGGGTTATGGTATTGTCGTGCCATTCATCCGCCGCCATCCCCTCATGTTTCAGCATGATAATGCACAGCCCCATGTCGCAAGGATCTGTACACAATTCCTAGAAGCTGAAAATGCCTCCAGTTCTTCCATGGCCTGCATACTCACCAGACATGTCACCCATTGAGCATGTTTGGGATGCTCTGGAACGACGTGTACGACAGAGTGTTTCAGTTCCCACCAATATCCAGCAACTTCGCACAGCCATTGAAGAGGAGTGGGACAACATTCCACAGGCCACAATCCACAGCCTGATCAACTCTATGCGAAGGAGATGTGTCGCGCTGCATGAGTCAAATGTTGGTCACACCAGATACTGATTGGTTTTCTGATCCACACCCCAACTTTTGTTTTTTAAAGGTATTTGTGACCAACATATGCATATCTGTATTCCCAGTCATGTAAAATCACTCCATAGATTAGGGCCTAATGAATTTATTTCAATTTACTGATTTCTTTATCAAATCAAATTGTATTGGTCGCATACACATATTTAGCAGATGTTATTGCGGATGTAGCAAAATGCTTGTGTTCCTAGCTCGAACAGTGCAGTAATATCTAACAATACACAACCATACACGCAAATCTAAAAGTAAAAGAATGGAATTAAGAAATATTAGGACGAGCAACGTCGGAGTCCGGAGTATAAATATATATGATATGGGATGTATAGACATTGTGGACAGTATGTGGATAGAATATGTAGTATATCTGTAGAATACGTAGGATAGAATAGTATATGTTTCTTTTTTATTTATTTTATTTTACCTTTATTTAACTAGACAAGTCAGTTACGAACAAATTCTTATTTACAATGACGGCCTACACCGGCCAAACCCGGACACACTGGGCCAATTGTGCGCCGCCCTATGGGACTCCCAATCACGGCCGGTTGTGATACAGCCTGGAATCGAACCAGGGGGTCTGTAGTGACGCCTTAAGCACTGAGATGCAGTGCCTTAGACCGCTGCGCCACTCGGGAGCCCAATGTACAGCAATAGTTGAATAGGATGGCCTTGACTAGAATACAGTATTAAACATCTGAAATGAGTAAAACAGTATGCAAATATTATTAAAGTGACCAGTGTCACGTTTTGTCTCTGAAAAATACTGTTGGCTACAACTGTTAAAATCGGTTACAACATTGTACAGCAGTGGAGGCTGCAGAGGGGAGGACGGCTCATAATAATGGCTGGAACGGAGTAATTGAAATGGTATCAAACACATGGAAACCATATATTCAGACCTCTTCCCTTTTTTCACATTTTGTTACATTACAGTCTTATTCTAAAATGGATTAAATTAATTTTGTTCCTCATCAATCTACACACAATACCCCATAATGACAAAGTGAAAACAGAAATACTTTATTTACATAAGTATTTAGACCCTTTGCTATGAGACTCGAAATTGAGCTCAGGTGCATCCTGTTTCCATTGATCATCCTTGAGATGTTTCTACAACTTGATTGGAGTCAACCTGTGGTAAATTCAATTGATCGGACATGATTTGGAAAGGCACACACCTGTCTATATAAGGTCCCACAGTTGACATTGCATGTCAGAGCAAAAACCAAGCCATGAGGTAGAAGGATTTGTCCGTAGAGCTCCGAGACAGGATTGTGTCGAGGCACAGATATGAGGAAGGGTACCAAAACATTTCTGCAGCATTGAAGGTCCCCAGTGGCCTCCATCATTCTTAAATGGAAGAAGTTTGGAACCACCAAGACTCTTCCTAGAGCTGGCCGCCCGGCCAAACTGAGCAATCGGGGGAGAAGGGCCTTGGTCAGGGAGGTGACCAAGAACCCGATGGTCACTCTGACAGAGCTCTACAGTTCCTCTGTGGACATGGGAGAACCTTCCAGAAGGACAACCATCTCTGCAGCACTCCACCAATCAGACATTTATGGTAGTGGCCAGACGGAAGCCATTCCTCAGTAAAAGGCACATGACAGCCCGCTTGGAGTTTGCCAAAAGGCACCTAAAGGACTCAGACCATGAGAAACAAGATTATCTGGTCTGATGAAACCAAGTTTGAACTCTTTGGCCTGAATGCCAAGCATCACGTCTGGAGGAAACCTGGCACCATCCCTACGGTGAAGCATGGTGGTGGTGGCAGCATCATGCTGTGGGGCTGTTTTTCAGTGGCAGGGAGTCAGAGTCGAGGGAAAGATGAACGGAGCAAAGTACAGAGATCCTTGATGAAAACCTGCTCAGGACCTCAGACTGAGGCGAAGGTTCACCTTCCAACAGGACAATGACCCTTAGCACACAGCCAAGACAATGCAGGAGTGGCTTCGGGACAAGTCTCTGAATGTATGTGAGGGGCCCAGCCAGAGGCCGGACTTGAACCCGATCGAACATCTCTGGAGAGACCTGAAAATAGCTGTGCAGCGACGCTCCCCATCCAACCTGAATTGGAGAAACTCCCCAAATACAGGTGCGCCACGCTTGTAGCGTCATACTCGAGGCTGTAATCGCTGCCAAAGGTGTTTCAACAAAGTACTGAGTAAAGGCTGAATGTCATATCAGTTTTATATTCTTTATACATTTGCCAATAAAAAAACAATGGTTTTGCTTTGTCATTATGGGGTATTGTGTGTAGATTGATGAGGGGGAAAAAACTATTTAATCCATTTTAGAAAAAGGCTGTAATGGAACAACATGTGGAAAAAGTAAATGGGTCTGAATACTTTCCCAATGCACTGTATTTGATACCATTCCGCTCCAGCCATTACCACGAGCCCGTCCTCCCCCAATTAAGCTGCCACCAACCTCCTGTGTTGTACAGTAAGTGTGTATTTTGAATTTGTGAAATTGTGATATGAGCGTAGAGGGCTTTATATTTCTAGAACTGTACCGCAATTGTGAATCTATTCACGTTTAGATTGAGTATTTGGCTGCCAGAACCAATTCGCCTCTAAACAGAACATGTAGCTATGTCTCTAGCTACATGACCTGACAAGTGGAAGGGAGTTTATGCTGGACTGGAGATAAGCAGCAATCCATTGACACTCTTTGGACAACTGGCAGCTCACTATAATGAATGGACATTTAGGTAGCTAGCAAAGTTAGCAATCTAATGTTGCAAGTCATGTGGTTACAGCCAGGTTGTGTGTGGTCGGTGGATGAGAAACCTACCGATTTTATATTTCTTATTGGGTGCATCGGTCTTCGTAGCATCAGTACTAGTTCCGAACTTTCTTTGAAAACATGAATCCACCTTTTTAAAGCATCTAGAGAGGCTGCCCCTCATACGTAACCTGCACACCGCAATGGAAGACGCCATTGCTGCGCTGAGACTGACGTGAAAGCGCATGCGTGTGCTGTATGTTCTATGGTATCCGAAACCTGCCAAAAATAGAATCTCAGTCAGCGTCAAACATGAATTTTGCGTTTTTCCTATATTTGCGAGACCAAACTGATCACTTGATCAGTATGATTGAAACGAGTGTATGGTATTGGCCCTCAGTTATGTAACCTGCAAATAGCCTCATGATGACCATTTTTATCATGCTGTCACTATACAGTCAGTTCTCTCATATACTGTTTTTATTGAACTTCAACAACAAGGGACATTGCGAAATAATTGTATCGAAGCACAGGCAGAATTGTGGGAGTTGAGAAAATACCGAACTATTCCATGGAATCATACGAACAGCTAACAGAAAGTCATTCTATTGGCTTCCTTTAGCTGAATCCGTTTGCCTACGGAAATCAAATATTACGGGGAAATTCAAGAATATGAAATTAAAAACGAAACTACAGAGGAATACACTGCGGCTACAAGACACCACTTTCGGCGTATGTTTTTATTTACACAATACCACCTAAACACAGAGACTGATAAATACTTCCTCTTCTACTTCCTAGCTCGTGAGTGGGAATTACAGTCCGTAGGCGCTTCAGTGCGGGCTAGAGTTGACAGCAGTCGGACGCAAGAATGGAGTAGCGCATTCGGACCTGATCCTACCCTACGTTATTTATTACAAAGACTCAGGTAAGCACATCGATATTACGGTATTACAAACAAGTAATGATCAGTTTATATTTGCCTCCAACCTTTCCAAAAAGTATTAATGACTTTAGTGTTTCGTGTTGAGTGTTCAGTGTTGGGAGGGCAATTGGTTGCTGTAGCCTACACTCAGAGTTAATTCTTCTTCACTTGGCTATAACCTACAGCAGGGTTCCCCAACTGGCCAGCGGGTGATTTTATTGGCCCCCCAAGTTTTCTAAACAAATACAAATATGTTTTATATATTTTATTGTTGGACATAAAAGACTGTAAAAACACCAGCAAATCATCTCCAATTGATTTTAATATGGGAAATATGTTCAAAAACTATTCCCACGCATAATAGAGAGATATATGTCATCGTATACAATATTTGAAATTATTATGTTTTAGTCAAATATTATATCTGTTTGGGCTTCTTGCGGTCAATTTGCAATCTACAAACTATTTGTAATTATGTTCCAGCCCAAATTGGAATTTCAGTTGCCTAATGAATCATCACTGTTCCATTTCAGTACCCAGCAGAAGCTAGAATATCAAAATGGATTACAAATATGCCAATGCTGGAATAGAACTCCTGCTGGCTCACATGAACATAGAGAATATCATTGACGCTGTTGAGAATCTCTATCACACCGAGGAGGAAGAGGCTGGGGCGTCGTGTGAGGAGGGTCTCTCTCAGGAGGAGATGGACGAGAACGAGGAGACTGTGGATGATTCAGGGGACGAAGTGACAGCGGTGACAGGAGGGACCCAGGGGACACAGCAGGGGAATGGTGGTGGTAGGGTAAGGTACGGGACGGTGTCGGACTTGCTCTCTTTCGTCAACCTGATCTCTAACATGCAGCCAGAAGCACTGCAGCGCCAGCCTGAGGAGATGGGTGTGTTACTGAACAAGGTGAGACTTCAGGACATTAGTGTATTTTTTTTGTATGTTGTTGTATCTGTCCCCACAAAGGTCTCATTAGATACTTTTAGTGTATGTGGACACCTGCTCGTCGAACATTTCATTTCAAAATGTTGGAACATTGCTGCGGGGACTTGCTTCCATTCAGCCACGAGAGCATTAGTGAGGTTGGGCACGGATGTTATGCGATTAGGCCTGGCTCGCAGTCTGCGTTCCAATTCATCACAAAGGTGTTCAATGGAGTTGAGGTCAGGGCTCTGTGCAGGCCAGTCAAGTTCTTCCACACCGATCTCGATAAACCATTTCGGTATTGACCTCTGTTTGTGCACGGGGGCATTGTCATGTTGAAACAGGAAAGGGCCTTCCCCAAACTGTTGCCACAACGTTGGAAGCACAGAATCGTCTAGAATGTCATTGTATGCTGTAGCATTAAGATTTCCCTTCACTGGAACAAAGGGGCCTAGCCCGAACCGTGATAAACAGCCCCAGACCATTATTCCTCCTCCACCAAACTTTACAGTTGGCACTATACATTCGGGCAGGTAGCGTTCTCCTGGCATCCAGCAAACACAGATTAATCTGTCAGACTGCCAGATGGTGAAGCGTAATTCATCACTCAAGAGAATGCGTTTCCACTGCTCCAGAGTCCAATGGCGGCGAGCTTTACACCACTTCAGCCGACGCTTGGCATTGCACATGGTGATCTTAGGCTTGTGTGCGGTTGCTCTGCCATGGAAACCCATTTCATGAAGCTCCAGACAAACAGTTATTGTGCTGACGTTGCTTCCAGAGGCAGTTTGGAACTCGGTAGTGAGTGTTGCGACCAAGCACAGACGATTTTTACAAACTACGCACTTCAGCACTCGGCGGTCCCGTTCTGTGAGCTTGTGTGGCCTACTACTTCGAGGCTGAGCAGTTGTTGCTCCTAGACGTTTCCACCTAACAATAACAGCACTTACAGTTGACTGGGATAGCTCTAGCAGGGGAGAAATTTGACAAACTGACTTGTTGGAAAGGTGGCATCCTATGACGGTGCCACGTTGAAAGTCTCTGAGCTCTTCAGTAAGGTCATTCTACTGCCAATGTTTGTCTAGTATGAAAAATGTATGCACTCACAAATTGTAAGTCGCTCTGGATAAGAGCGTCTGCTAAATGACTAAAATGTCAATTGGATCACTATGGAGATTGCGTGGCTGGGTGCTCGATTTTATAAACCAGTCAGCAACGGGTGTGGCTGAAATAGCCGAATCCACTAATGTGAAGGTGGTGTCCACATACTTTTGTATATACAGTGTATCAAAGTTGATTTGTCATATGCAAAGGACAATGGAATGCTTAGAAGTGGCATTGTGTGTATACAGTGCCTTCGGAAAGTATTCAGACCCCTTGACTTTTTCCACATTTTGTTACGTTACAGTCTTATTTTAAAATGGATGAAATAAATAAAAATCCTCAGCAATGTACCCCCATAATGACAAAGTGAAAACAGGTTTTTAGAAATGTTTGCAAATGTATTTAAAATAAAAAACAGAAACACCTTATTTACATAAGTATTCAGACCCTTTGCTATGAGACACGAAGTTGAGCTCAGGTGCTCAATTTGATCATTCATGAGATGTTTCTACAACTTCATTGGAGTCCACCTGTGGTAAATTAAATTGATTGGACATGATTTGGAAAGGCACACACCTGTCTATATAAGGTCCCACAGTTGACAGTGCATGTCAGAGCAAAAACCAAGCCATGAGGTCGAAGGAATTGTCTGTAGAGAGGATTGTGTCGAGGCACAGATCTGGGGAAGGGTACCAAAACATTTCTGCAGCATTGAATGTCCCCAAGAACACAGTAGCCTCCATCATTATTAAATGGAAGAAGTTTGGAACCACCAAGACTCTTCCTAGAGCTGGCCGCCCGGCCAAACTGAGCAATCGGGGGAGAAAGGCCTTGGTCAGGGAGGTGACCAAGAACCCAATGGTCACTCTGACAGAGCTCTAGAGTTCCCCTGTGGAGATGGGAGAACCTTCCAGAAGGACAACCATCTCTGCAGCACTCCACCAATCAGGCCTTTATGGTAGTGTGGCCAGACGGAAGCCGCTCCTCAGTATAAGGCACATGACAGCCCGCTTGAAGTTTGTCAAAAGGACCTAAAGACTCTCAGACCATGAGAAACCAAAATTGAACTATTTTGCCTGAATGCCAAGCGTCACGTCTGGAGGAAACCTGGCACCATCCCTACGGTGAAGCATGGTGGTGGCAGCATCATGCAGTGGGATTGTTTTTCAGCGGCAGGGACTGGGACACTAGTCAGGATCGAGGCAAAGATGAACGGAGCAAAGTACAGAGCGATCCTTGATGAAAACCTGCTCCAGAGCGCTCAGACTGGGGCGAGGTTTCACCTTCCAACAGGACAACTACCCTAAGCACACAGCCAAGACAACGCACGAATGGCTTCGGGACAAGTCTCTGAATGTCCTTGAGTGGCCCAGCCAGAGCCTGGACTTGAACCCGATCGAACATCTCTGGAGAGACCTGAAAATAGCTGTGCAGCAACACTCCCCATCCAACCTGACAGAGCTGCAGAGAAGAATGGGAGAAACTCCCCAAATACAGGTGTGCCAAGCTTGTGGTGTCATACCCAAGACTCTTGAGGCTGTAATTGCTGCCAAAGGTGCTTCAACAAAGTACTGAGTAAAGGGTCTGAATACTTATGTAAATGTGATATTTCAGTTATTTTCTAAAAACATTTCTAAAAACCTGTTTTTGCTTTGCCATTATGGGGTATTGTGTGCAGATTGATGAAAAAAACAACAATTTAATCAATTTCATAATAAGGCTGTAACCTAACAAAATGTGGAAAAAGTCAAGGGGTCTGAATACTTTCCCAAGGCAGTGTAAGTGTGATTGAAACTGTCTGTCCCTACGTCTGTTAGTCAATCAGTCTGTCTGTGTGTCTGCGAGTATGTGTATGTATGTGGTCAAGTATAGATAGTCTGTCTGTAGGGTTATTTAAAGCCTTTACTGGTTCAGCAGCACCACATTTCCCTACTTCTGTGCAGAAACACATGGTGCTGAAGAAGGGTCGCTATCGCATCGATTTGGATGTGCTTCTTTTTCCATGGATGTGGACCTACAAGACTCCAGGCTCCGGCGGCCATGTTCCAAAGGGCTCATTTGGAAAAGTTCACTTGGCCCAGGATACCGTTACCAGGAAGAGAATGGCATGCAAACTGGTGAGTCAATGAGTCTGCGTGCAGGAATGTCTGGCATGTTTGCAGAGTGGATTTCTCGAAACTGACGCTGGCCGGTCTATGTGCCAAGATTGATTTCAGGCAGGAAGTTTTGTTTTCAAAGCAATAGAAACTAATTTGTTAGGCCAATATCAAGGCAGAATGTCACGTGAAGTCAGTCAGGTCTTTGCACCCAAACACTTTGAAACCTGCAACAACAGAACATCTAAAACGAGGAACACTATGTACTGTAGAAATATACAAATATTTATTTGCGTCGTCTCAAAAGCCAGTATTGCAGATAGAAACTGAAAGTATTTGGCTGGTTAACCCACAGGAAACCCCCCACAGTAACAGCTCTGGGTTAAAACAATAACAAATGTAGTGGACAAGAATCAAAGGGCATCATAGAATGTCACCTTTACAGCATGTTTTTTCTGCTCCTATTCTCATACCAAATGATTAGGAAGTAAGTAGCCTTGTGCGAGCTGTAACAGCAGCCTATCTCCTGTTTCTGTAGTGAGGCAGCTTGATGTACAAGTACGACCCTGGAGAGGACGCTAGTCTATCGCAGGGCCTTACCACTAATCTATCTCCTTAGTGCCGAGTGTCAAGCAAAGACGCATCAGGTCCCATTTTTACAGTCTTTGGTATGACTCGGCCAAGGATTGAACTCCCAACCTTCCAATCTCAGGCGGGCACTCTAATCACAACTGGTATTTCACCTGGGGTAGAAGAGAGGATATAGCATTTATATTATTTCTGCCCACAAATAGTTACACACGATGGGAGTGGCCTCCTGGTCTGGTTATTCCATCGTCAGTGGAATGTTTACATACTAAAGACTTTGTAGATACTTTGCATAATAGACATACTTTACTGTAGATGTCTAAATCTCTTTTTAAATAGAATGTCTATAGAATGTTTTTTATGCCTTAATGGTTATATTCATACACCTAGATCCCCATGGAGCATTTCAAACCAGCCGATGTGGAGATCCAGGCCCGGTTCCATCACGAGAACATTGCAGAGCTCTACGGCGCTCTCCTCTGGGACCAGAACATCCATCTGTTCATGGAGGCCGGCGAGGGAGGCTCGGTTCTGGAGAAACTAGACAGCTGTGGACCCATGAGGGAGTTTGAGATCATCTGGGTCACCAAGCAGGTCCTCAGGGGCCTGGAGTATCTGCACTCTCACAATGTCATCCACCACGACATCAAACGTGAGTGGAAAGTGCCCAAAACAAACGTTAAAAAACGCACATTAGAACACTCAATTAGTAAGCATAAGAGTGAGCGTAAGTAAGTTATAGGCCTGTAGCCTTTGCTTTTACCAGGGTTTAGAAAGCCAGGTTTTCTCAACTTCTAACCCCAAATACATCAAAAATGGAACCCAGGTATGTCTCCAAAACACATGCACACTAGGAGTATGTGTGGCCTCCACTGGGCACAAGCTGGTTAAATCAACGTTGTTTCAACGTAATTTGTCAACGTATTATGACATGGAATCTACGTGGAAAATACATTGGATTTGAAAAATCAATAGTTTTTGAGTGTAACATTTCAACCACAGGATTATGTCATCATGGTAACCAATTTTCAACAGAGACAAACCTTGTATAAAGTCTGTTGAATTTTTACATTTGAAACAACGTCAGATCTTCAACGTTATAGCCACTAAAATAAAAAAAACTATAGGCTGGGTTGGCTGCACCTCCTACTGGAGAGTTGAGCTATCTACAGCTATTTCTTTCTGTCTCCCATCCAGGGTTTTAACCAAACCCAGCTTTGATATTTGTCACTGGCTATTACCAATGTGCTATTGTGAGAAGGATTGTGGAGAAATCTACACTTAACAGATTCACTGACACTATCAAATTAATTCCAAATGATAGGTTCAACAGAGCAAATGAAATGTAACCATACTTGATGAATCATGTATTATAAATTATGCTTTTAAGGCCTATATAGCATTTGGTCAGTCATCAACAGCTGTTGTTTAAATTCAGCCCATGTAGGCCTAGAGTTTCAAGCTTTGGTTGATTTCAAATGGAATCTACGAGATAATAATACGAATGTTGGATTCAAGTCTTCATCTCAACCAAAAATACAAGTTCAAGAATTGAATCAAATTAAACTGTCAATATTTGATTTTATTTAGTCCTATTCTTTTACTTAGATTTTGGTCGAAATGGAGACGTGAATCCAACATGTCAATTATTAATTTGTAGACAAACTGGGATTAAAGCAAGACTCAGTGGCAAAGATGGAGCTATCCAAGCAGAATATACATCTTCTTCAAAAGTTGATATTAGGTTGTATTGACAACCAAACACAATTCAATATCACTTTTGCAATACGGTAAATAGCCTATTAACTGTCGACAAGTTAAAAATGCATGTCTCCATCTCAACCAAAAATTAAAGTTAAAGAATAGGATTAAGCCAGTGGATCAGAGGGAACTATCAAGCAGTAGAATTGTGTTTGATTGCATTGTCAACCAAACACAATTCAATATTACTTTTGTAAGACAGTAAATAGCCTAAAGTTAAGTCTATCTTACAAACTAATGTAACATTCAACCTTAAAATGTGTAACACATCCATGGCCAAATTTTGAGGTTACTGTAACAAATGTATTCTTATATAATCATAGAAAGCATGCATGTTCAGTGTCGAAGGTCTTTGGAAATCTAAACAATTGCTATAATAATCTGCACAGATTCTCGAACGGCATTGATCCCTTGCACCATGTACTTTAATGTAATTTATACTAACTACAATCCAGGTCATTTGGTTCTGCTAATAGATGAAGCACAGTGATAACACATTACGTTGTTGTATAAATAAACTAAAAACCAGACATTGATTTTCCATTGGAATTTGGTTGTGCTTTTAGATGGTTGAAAGCATAGTGACAACACATTGGGAATTCAAGAATCTTTTGGCTGTCGTTTTGAGTGGTTGAAATCTCATTGATCAACTTATGTAACAAATATTGCCCAATATCTCCACATTGAAATGACATGGTGTGCCCAGTGGGCTGTGACTGTCATTATCCACTTTATGTGAAATGTAACCAAGATAGGAAAGGACTTTAGAGGAAACTGCACCTTGAACCAACGGCTTCACAGGAAACTCAACCATAGACAACAAAGAAACCATGTTAGGCCTTGTAAAAAGGCAGGATGAAGCTGTGGTGTTGCTGACGGTGTTCAGGTCACACAGGTAGCTAAAGTTGTATAAGTTATGTTCCAAATGGCACCCTATCCCCTATTTAGTGCATTAGCTTTAACCTGGTCAAAAGTAGTGCACTGTATAGGTAATAGGGTGCCATTTGGGAAAAACCCCAGTATCTGCTTAGCTAGCTACTGAGATTGCTGAAACACAGGATGTTTGAGTGAGATAGATTAGACAGCAAGGCTAGGGCTGCAGGCAGGTGGCAGTGAGCTGTCCATTGCACGTGAGATTTGCTTCCAAGATTGTAGTGAGCCATAGTCTGTGGAGCTACATCTAATATCAGTCAATCAGTCAAAACTGTGTTGATAAATGCATAAAAACATTTATTTAACCATGTAAAGACCCTTGAGGTTAGAAACCCCTTTTTTGAGGGGGACCTGGCAAGAGGTCAGCAGGAAGTAGTCGGTGTGTACATACAACACGAGCACAATACAATACTGTAAATTAAAAACAATTACAATGGTTAGCAACATTTTCCTCTATCAGAGCTTTAAACTCAGCAAGCGATACTCTCTCCTCCAGTAAATGTATTGTATTAACGTTAACTTTATAATGTGGGGTGTTCCCCAGTAAAAGTTATACTATCTATAGGGGTTAATGTGTTGCATTAAACTTTAAACACATTCAAAGACCTGTGGATCAGTCTATTATCATTCAGTCAGTCAATCAGGGCTTGGCTAAAGACTAAATGCACTATATGTAGCATCTGGAAATTCCAGCCAGACCCTCCTTCCCTGCAACAGGGTTAACTCTAACTGTAGGGCTGTTTACAAGAAACCAGTGAGTTATGACTTTCTGACGTGGCACTGTAGTTCTGTGCTCTTCCTGTCCTCCAGTCAAAGGTTACATCCCAAATGGCACCCTATTCCCTATGAAGTACCCTATTCCCTATGTAGTGCCCATAAGACTTTGGTCAAAAGTAGTGCACTATATAGGGAATAGAGTACTTTCCTTTAGTCAAAAGCCATTCAGAGACTCAACATGCCTCATAGCATGCTCTGTGTGGGTATGAATTTACATATTACATCAGTGCAAATGTTGATATTTCTCATTTCCTTAAATGTACATACAGTTCCCATCACATATACTGTATGTCAATAGCAATTTTAGCAAATGATAGAAGAAATATTGACCTTCGTGACAGACATAATACAGTAGCAAGTTAGCGCACACTATATTGGGTTATGAGATTACACTGTATCTTGCAGCACATGTTCTTTAGCTATGACATGGCTGAACTGAACAGCTTTTTTGGTGAATCTCACTCACTCACTCACCCTCCCTCCCTCCCTCCCTCCCTCCTTTCTCTCTTCAGCCAGCAACATCGTTCTGATGTCAGACAAAGCGGTGCTGGTGGACTTTGGCCTGACGGTACAGATGACAGGGGAGGTGTACACCCCTAGGGACCTGCGCGGCACAGAGGTAAGTGATTCTGCTGTCTGCTCTCTTCAACACCCTCAGGCCTATGACATAACAACAAAATACACTCTCAGGCCTGTGACATAACAACAAAAGACACTCTCAGGTCTATAAAATAACAACAAAAGACACTCTCATTGCTTTTGACATAACAACAAAAGATACTCTCATTGCTTTTGACATAACAACAAAAGACACTCTGGGGCCTATGACATAACAACAAAATACACTCTCAGGTCTACGACATGACCTACAGGGTTAGGGTCAATTCATTTTCAATTCAGTCAAAAAACTTTTTTATTGCAATTGGAATTTCAGTTCCTGAATTGTGAATTGGAATGGAATATACTCCAATCCTGGTGACCTATGACATTACAACAACAAGAGCAACTTCTTAATCTGTGAGATGTTCAATAGGTGTGTTTAATAGAAGGTAAAGCAGCTGTTTCTAGTTCAAGATTGAGGTCAAGCGATGCCTCAGGGCACTCTGAAAATGATTTAGTTAGAAGACGTGTCAGTGTTTGTCTCACATGGTCTTATAGTAAAAGAAAAGGTGCAGGGTAATCACATCAAACACGAAGAGATCTTGTATAGGTTTATAAGTGGACTATAGGTTTTTGTGTGTAATGCATAGGCTACAGAGTTGTCTCAAATGTACATTGATTATCAGTAATAATACAGTAGGTTGAAAGCCTTTGAACACTAGCATTTTCAGATTCCAATTTACATCCTTATTCACAGTTCGGAAAATCTAGGAGGAGGCATTCATTCTGTTCTTTCTCACGACCATCCCTCTCCTCATCCTCCTCTTCCTAATCCACTCCTCTCCTCCCCTCTGTGGTGACCTATACCCCTGGTGGCCGAGAGGGAAAGTCCCAGGGCAGAGAGACAGACAGACAGCAGTAATAACAGGCAGGGAGATAGCTATCAAACAGACAGCTAGCCAACAGAGTGGAGCTGCTGCGACTAGGCTGACATTAGCTAACATGGGGGCAGGCTGGAAATTCCAGTTGAGAGATGGACTCTGGTCTGATGTGTTTACTCTTTCACACTTCAAAGGCCGTACACAGTACAGTACAGTACAGAGCCTAACACCAGCCCAGCTGCTCTTAGGGTTCCTGTATTAATACATAGTCATAGAGACACTGTGTATTATTCATGTTATTATTAATGTTATGACTGTTATGATTATTATCACTGGCGTCATGACTACATAAAAAAAAAAAACATTTGATGAAGAAAAAGATTGGGTACTGTCCAAACACTTATTTTCTTCTTTTACAAATGACATTATGCCATTGACCCTGTGAGTAACCGTTGACCCTGTGAGTAACAGTTGTCTTGTGTTTTCTTCCTCAGATGTATATGAGCCCGGAGGTGGTTCTGTGTCGAGGACACAACACCAAGACGGATATCTACAGTCTGGGCACCACCATCATCCACATGCAGACTGGCAGCCCACCCTGGGTCAGGAGATACCCACGCACCTCTTACCCATCCTACCTCTACATAGTAAGTACCACTCTCCCGATCTCCATCCCTAGCCATCCTATCTCTACATAGTAAGCATCTCCTGATAGTTCACCAAAAAACAGTATTACATGATTTATACACTTCCAATAAATGCACAAATATAGAGCTTTGAAAGTAGTATAGCAGAAGCATAATCAGTGACAACTCCACTAAGTAATGGGACAATGGAAAGTGGACGGATGAAGTGTATAGATTAGTGAATGGTGAACATACAGGACTTCCTCTTGCTACACTGACATGGCTGAAGGAGGGGAAACCCCCACTTGTGGCCAGTCTTTCCTTGAAACAGACATATTTTAACATCACCCGGTTCAGATTTCTATGGCATAGGCCTAGATTCTTGCAAGATCATTTTTCTCAAACATCATGTGATCTCTTAAAGTGACTGGCTGCGTCCCAAATGGCACCGTATTCCCTGTATGGTCAAAAGTAGTGCACTATATTGGGAATAAGTTGCCATTTGGGATGCAACCTCTGTCTCTGGCACATTATCAGCATACTCCCTCAGGCTCAGTACACTAGTTCTGTTTTGCTTTTAACAGTGTTTTTCATGATCATGTTCCTGATTTGAAGAGGTCCTGTTTCTCTTTTTGGAGTGGCTGCTGTTCCGGAACCTGACTTTCTGTTGCTAAAACTACTGAGATTTCTGCGCATTCGGGATCCAATAGCCTATTTCTTTTCAGCTGCTGCTCAGTGCTCAGTCACTCCATGACTCCGCTGCCGCCTGTACACAAAACAGTTCGAACAAACTGGCTGTTGTAACAGTAGGCTATTGCAAACATAAGTACGACACAAACAGGTTGATCAACTTAGTTGAGAGTTCAGAAGAGGGTGAGAAAAGAGAGAAACGTGAATGTGTGTGTATAATAACACATGCACAGAACGTGATTTGAGAAAGATGTTTCCAGAGGGGTGGGACGGGGGCGGGGCGTGGGCAAAAATTCTGTATTTGTAGCCTCAGTCTTCTCTTTTTTAAGTGTCATTCATCTCTGCTTTCAGGAAGGACTAATTCCTCATTCTTCACTGTCATAGGGAAGTGCTTAAGAGAGCTACTGATTCAACTTATTCACCTCTCCCAATCACTGCTCCCTTGTACATAGGGTTGCAAATTCCGGGAACTTTCAATAAATTCCCTGGGTTTCCTGATTTCTGGAAAAGCAGTGAATTTATTGAATTTATTGAAAGTTCATGGAGTTTTGCAACCCTACTTGTACATCAAACTTGTTTTACACTCAGTAAGTGGTGCCAGGAGATAGCATAGAGTTGCAGATTAAATGCAGGATAACTTTTAGTCTCACCTAGCCATCACTATGACTAAAAAGACAAGGAATGCCTATAGTGATGGTGGCTAAGTCTCGCCTAACCTGACATCGCATTCTTACATTCCATAGATAGAAGACTGGCATGTGAGAATGTTGCATCAGACCTAGTTTGGTTGTTTTCTTTAAAAACTGCTGGGTTATTGAGATATGACCCAGCGGTTCAGATCAGAAGACTGGAGGCGTAGTTTAGTTGTTTTTTTACCCAACATTTTTTAGTGTAGAACTATAAGAATAGTTGTGAACCCATAATTATAGGATCTATATTTACATTTTTACATTTTAGTCATTTAGCAGATGCTCTTATCCAGAGCGACTTACAGTTAGTGAGTTCATACATTTTTCATACTGGCCCCTCGTGGGAATTGAACCCACAACCCTGGCGTTGCAAGCGCCATGCTCTACCAACTGAGCTACAGGAGGCCTATATGGTTCTACCACAGAATTAGAATGGCTTTGCTATAATTCTAATTATATGGCTCCTCTCTCCCCTCAGATCCACAAGCAGGCCCCTCCCCTGGAGGACATAGCAGAGGACTGCAGCGGTGCCATGAGGTCCTTCCTGGAGCGAGCCCTGGAGAGGAACCCTGCCCAGCGCAGCTCTGCAGCCAAGCTCCTGAGGGACGAGGCCATCAACCCTCCCAGGGAGGAACAACCACGCTGCTGGAGCCTGGACTCAGCCCTGGTGGAGGCCTCCCACCCACTGAGGCAGCACAGCCAGCAGCCTGACACCACACAGGGTAGGGACTTCTATATCTTACTGTTCTATATCATGGTTGTTCCCTAAAATAGACTTTGTTCCGCATATTGTTCCCTACGGATGTAGGCAGGGACTTCAAATGTTAACTGGGCTGTGGTAAAATGCATACGCACTTCCTCAAGCGACACATACACACTAACATTTGTATGAAACTTCATGAGAGCATATGTTACCAATAACTATACAATGATCTTTTTTTGCAGAATCTTCTCTGTACTCTGAGCCTGAGGACTCTGCCCACCTGAGGAGGAAGGGATCGCTGTACATCGACCTGGGGGCAATGGCTGGGTACTATAATCTAGTGAGAGGTCCCCCTGCCACAGAATATGGCTAACCCTGAGCCTAACCCAAAGACACCTTTAGTAGGACTTCTGAAGGAAATTGGTCTGGTAAAGCTATAAATGTAACTTTAACCTTAGCCTGGTACGAAGATAATTACTTCATTATCCCCATGGGAACATTTTGGTACTGGTGAACTGTTAGGTCAGAGACTCTCAGGAAGTTGAGTTTGGAACTCATGAAGACTCAATGGTGAATGTGTGAGTGATACTTTTTTGGGTAGAGCAGGTTAATAGCCTGTACTTGTGCAATGAAATGGACCAATGTCTGAAGAGTGGTTTCTGTAGCTGCCTTAGTTTGCCATCTCTCAACAATGCTGCGCCTCATTGGTTGTAAGAGATGCGTTACTCAGTAACTCTGTGTTTCATTGGTTAACAGTGGAATCAGCGACATCTTGTGGCATGCTCTGTAGATACATTATATATTAGCATGTTTTACAGTTTGTTTATTCATCTCTTAAAAATAAAGGTGCAAGTTGGAACCAAATCATATTCTTGAGAGCGATGCCATAGGGCAACCATTTTAGGGACTCTGAAGAAAGGTAAATAGGATGGTTCTTTGAAGAACCATACCAAAATCCAAAACCAGTGTAGGGTTTTAAGCCTTGGTGTAGGGTTTTAAGCCTTATTTGCATATTTCCCAGGATGCCTTTCAAGTTAATATTAGAGTTACCGTACCACCCATGACTGTGTTTGCTAGTGACAGAGACATGGTTGTTGCATTCATTAATTCATATGTTGTCATTAAAATATTATTATCTAAAACAATACAATACATATTTCATAAGGCCTTTTTTGAGTACCTAGTTGTGGTCTGAAATGCATAGGTTACAGGCCACATTATGCTGGCTTGCTAAGTGATGTGTAATTCCTATTGGAATCCAGCCAGACTGGGGTTATTCAACGTTTGGAATTTTTATTCACCCGCAACCTGCATTCAAAATGACTGCCAGGGTTGGGAAGACTAAAATATGAGTCTACCTTAAATATCTAAACTGGAACAACCATTTCAGTAACGGGTGCAATAAGTCCAAATAACAGATTAGAATTGTTTACAAAAATGTATGTTATTTATATTTGAGTAGGATAACATTTATTAATCAATCAATGTGCATGCAAAAACATAGAACATTAAAAAACAATTCTAAAAAAATCAACCTGCAATAGAGCATGCTGGGAAATATGATAACGATGGGCGTGGTTTTGGTTCAACTCTGGTTATTAACACCAACACTGGGGTTATTTTACATCACTGAGTGGTAATTTACCTCTTTGCGGTATTAGTTTAACTTGAATCAACACTAGAAATGTTACACTGAAAAATCAACACTAGTTAACACTGGCCAATTTGCTGTGTGGTATGAAAGGGACACATCTGCAGGCTTCCATACATTTCAAGAACCTTTTAGAATTCTGAAGAACCATAGATTCCATGTCAAGAACCCCACACTTAACTCAAAGGTTCTTTATCAGGAAAGAGTTCTCCAAGGAATTTTCAGAGCTGAGGAAGAACCATTTAAAAACCTTTTTTCAGTGTAAAGAAATGTGTCTGAATGTGTCTTATTATTGAGGCATTCTGTGTGTCAATATGATTTCTGACAATGTATTTGCGGATTGTACAAACAATATTGTTTGAAGTCTGAAGTTCTTAATGAACTTTTCTGTTTGTTCCTTTGGAATCTGAATATTATATTTTGAGTACTTGCTATGCAAGTTACACCATGATGTACATGTGTAATCAATGATCTTTTACATGTATTTTACCTGTTGGATTTGTGGTTTTCTAATGAGATAACAATGTCTATAGCATTTTGTAAACTGACTTCAGTCTCTTACACTGTACTTTTCTGTCTCAATAATTTGAAGTTGAATTACTGAATAACATGTCATATAATTCATCTGAATAAAATGAAAAAGTCAACACCTGTGTTTTAGTCATGTTTATGGTTGAATACCCAGATAAAATGGAAGGGAGACTAACATCATATTGAAGGTAGGGCTATCTGTTTCTATGGTGAGTGAGTGGGAGGAGGGGGAGGTTATATTTTTTAAAATCTCTTTCTCCTCTGGTCAGCTTCCTCTCTGTGTGATCACATCACAGAGCAATCAGTCAGCTCATACACACAAAGTCCTGTAGATACTAGTTCCTACTCTTTAAATGTGTTTGAAGAATTGCAAATTGTTATAATGTTTGCCTACTATTTACATTACAACTCTGCCTTCAACCACTATGTGGGGGGGATCCATCCAACATGCTCAAATGTTTCTGTCACATAACTACAGTATCTGTCTCTGTGTTCTAGTACTTTTGTTTATGAAGAACAGTTCCTTGATAGCATCAGAGATCAATTTCCTTATTATCAGGACGCATGTTGCTCCCATAGCGTAGTCTCTCTGATGTCAGAATTCTGATACAGAAGAGGGCTCCGGGCAGCCGAGCGGAAATGGAGGAAATCTAGACTCCCTGCGGACCTGTCATCTTTTCACTCCCTCCTCTCTACATTCTCTTCCTCTGTTTCCGCTGCTAAAGCCACTTTCTACCACTCTAAATTTCAAGCCTCTGCCTCTAACCCTAGGAAGCTCTTTGCTACCTTCTCCTCCCTGCTGAATCCTCCTCTCCCTCCCCCTCCCTCCTCCCTCTCTGTGGATGACCATTTTGAAAAGAAGGTTGACGACATCCGATCCTCATTTATTAAGTCAAATGACACCGCTGGTCCTGCTCACACTGCCCTACCCTATGCTTTGACTTCTTTCTCCCCTCTCTCTCCAGATGAAATCTTGCGACTTGTGACGGCCGGCCGCCCAACAACCTGCCCGCTTGACCCTATCCCCTCCTCTCTTCTCCAGACCATTTCCGGAGACCTTCTCCTTTACCTCACCTCGCTCATCAACTCATCCTTGACCGCTGGCCATGTCCCTTCAGTCTTCAAGAGAGCGAGAGTTGCACCCCTCCTCAAAAAACCTACACTCGATCCCTTCTTTCTTTTCTCTCCAAAACTCTTGAGTGTGCCGTCTCTAAGCCAACTCTCCTGCTATCTCTCTCAGAATGACCTTCTTGATCCAATAGTCAGGTTTCGAGACTGGTCATTCAACTGAGACTGCTCTTCTCTGTGTCATGGAGGCTCTCCACACTGCTAAAGCTAACTCTCTCTCCTCTGCTCGTATCCTTCTAGACCTATCCGCTGCCTTTGATACTGTGAACTATCGGATCCTCCTCTCCACCCTCTCCGAGTTGGGCATCTCCGGCGCTGCTCACTCTTGGATTGCGTCCTACCTGACAGGTCGCTCCTACCAGGTGGCGTGGCGAGAATCTGTCTCCGCACCACGTGCTCCCACCACTGGTGTCCCCCAGGGCTCAGTTCTAGGCCCTCTCCTATTCTCTCTATACACCAAGTCACTTGGCTCTGTCATATCCTCACATGGTCTCTCCTATCATTGATACGCAGACGACACACAATTAATTTTCTCCTTTCCCCCTTCTGATAACCAGGTGGCGAATCGCATCTCTGCATGTCTGGCAGACATATCAGTGTGGATGTCGGATCACCACCTCAAGCTGAACCTCGGCAAGACGGAGCTGCTCTTCCTCCCGGGGAAGGACTGCCCGCTCCATGATCTCGCCATCACGGTTGACAACTCCATTGTGTCCTCCTCCCAGAGTGCAAAGAACCTTGGCGTGACCCTGGACAACACCCTGTCGTTCTCCGCTAACATCAAAGCGGTGACCCGATCCTGCAGGTTCATGCTCTACAACATTCGCAGAGTACGACCCTACCTTACACAGAAAGCGGCACAGGTCCTAATCCAGGCACTTGTCATCTCCCGTCTGGATTACTGCAACTCACTGTTGGCTGGGCTCCCTGCCTGTGCCATTGAACCCCTACAACTTATCCAGAACGCCGCAGCCCGTCTGGTGTTCGACCTTCCCAAGTTCTCTCATGTCACCCCGCTCCTCCGCACACTCCACTGGCTTCCAGTTGAGGCTCGCATCTACTACAAGACCATGGTGCTTTCTTACGGAGCTGTGAGGGGAACGGCACCTCCTTACCTTCAGGCTCTGATCAGACCCTACACCCAAACGAGGGCACTACGTTCATCCACCTCTGGCCTGCTAGCTCCCCTACCTCTACGAAAGCACAGTTCCCGCTCAGCCCAGTCAAAGCTATTTGCTGCTCTGGCACCCCAATGGTGGAACAAGCTCCCCCACGACGCCAGGACAGCGGAGTCACTGACCACCTTCCGGAGACACTTGAATCCCTACCTCTTTAAGGAATACCTGGAATAGTATAAAGTAATCCCCCCCATAAAATAAATAAATAAGTGGTTGTCCCACTGGCTATCATAAGTTGAATGCACCAATTTGTAAGTCGCTCTGGATAAGAGTGTCTGCTAAATGATGTAAATGTAAAATTATGTAAATGTCATGGTAACAGTGTGTGGGCAGGACCGGGGACAGGCCGTATGAGTGGCTGTGATGCAGATAACACATAGAACTTACAGTAGCAGGTTTATTTACTAATAGATCTGAGGCAAGCCGCTCTGACGATCACCCTCCTCCACACAGTGAGTGTCCCAAATGGCACCATATTCCCTACATAGTGAGCCCAATGGGCTCTGGTGAAAAGTAATGCACAATATATAAGGGATAGGGTGCTAATTGGGACACAACCAGTGTGAGAGAAAGGGAAGTTCATGCCCATGATAAATAGCTCACACCAACCCACACATGGTTCCCCTTGAGGTGGAATCTCACAGCTAGAGAGAAAGAGAGAGAGAGAGACCATAGCTGGTTTCTCATTATAAAGCTATGGTCAACTCATTATTGTCACTGAGTCAGTCTATGTTCTTATCAGTGATGAACGTAGCAGGGTAATCCACGGTATACAGAAGATAGCCCTATTTGGTAAAAGACCAAGTCCATAATTTGAACATCACAGATATAAATTCCAACTGTGCCCATGATAAAGTTAACTACGTTACTTTAGTTGGCTGCTTT